TCTGGTCCAGGGGTTTCTGTGTTCTGGGAGTTTTTTTGATTATTGCTTCAACTTCACCAGCTGTTATTGGTCTGTTCAGGCTTTCTACTTATTCTTCATTCAGTGTTGGAAGATTATATTTTTCTAGAAATTTATTCATTTCATTGAGGTTTTCAAATTTCTTGGCACATATTCGTTCATAGTAATTTCTTACAATCCTTTGTATTTCTGTGGTATCAGTTGTTATTGCTCCCCTTTCTTTTCTGACATTTTGTATTTGGGTCCTCTCCCTTTTTTCTTGATAAGTCTGCGTAGCAGCTTGTTGATTTTATTTATCTTTTCAAAGAACCAGCCCCTGGAATGGTTGATCCTTTGAATGGTTCTTTTAGCCTCTATGTCATTCAATTCTGCTCTGATCTTGATTATTTCCTTCCTTCTACTGGCTGTGGACTTTGTTTATTGTTGTTTCTCCAGTTCTGGAAGATGTTGGGCTAAGTTGTTTATTTGAAGTGTTTCTATCTTTTTAAGGTAGGCCTGTATGGCTGTGAATTTCCCTCTCAGGACTGACTTTGCTGTTTCCCATGGGTTTTAGACTGTTTCATGTTCATTTTCTTTTGTTTCCAGAAACTTTTTGATTTCTTCTTTGATCTCATTATTTACCCATTCATTGTTTAATAGCATGCTATTCAGTCTCCATGAGTTTGAATGTTTCTGAGTCTTTTCCTTGAGGTTGGTTTCTAGTTTCAAGCCCTTATGGTCTGAAAATATGCTTGTTATGATTTCGATTTTCCTGAATTTGTTGAGGCTTGTTTTGTGTCCTATCATGGGGTCTATATTTGAAAGTGTTCCATTTGCATATGAAAAGAATGTGTATTTTGCTTCTTTGGGGTGAAATGTTCTATAAATGTCAATTAAGTCATTCAGTCTCACAAATCCTTGTGGATGTTTTGTTTGGAGGATCTATCCATTTTTGACAGTGGGGTGTTAAAATCCACTACTATCAGTGTGTTCACTGTCTATATCTTTCGTGAAGTCCTCCAAGATTTTCCTTATATATTGGGGTACTCCTATGTTGGGTGCATCTCGATTTACATAGTTTATGTTGTCTTGATGGATTCTTCCTTTGAGTATTATAAAGTATTCTTCTGGGTCCCTTTTTATGGCTGTTGTTTTGAAATCTATTTTGTCTGATGTAGGTGTTGCTACCCCTGCTTTTTCATCCTGTCCATTTGCTTGGAATATTTTTTTCCATCCCTTTATTTTCAGTCTGTGTAGGTCCTTTGTTCTGAGGTGGGTCTCTAGTAGGCAGCATATTAGTGGGTCATGTTTTCTTATCCATTCAGCTATCCTATGTCTTTTGATTGAGGCATTTAATCCATCTACATTTAAAATTATTCATAGGTACTTACTCACTTTTTCCCTTTGTACCTGTAATCCTCTCTTTCTCATTCTTTTTCTTAATCTTCTTAAAGCAGTCCCTTAAGCATATCTTGTAGTGCTTGTTTGGTGGAGGTGTATTCATTTAGCTTTCTTTTGTCTGGGAAACTCCTTACTTTGCCTTCCATTTTAATTGAGAGTCTTGCTTGATAGAGTAGTCTTGGCTGCAGGCCCTTGCTTTTCCTTACTTGGAATATTTCTTGCCATTCTCTTTTTTCTTGTGTTTCGGTTGAGAAGTCAGCTGCTAGCGTATCGGGGCTCCCTTGTATGTTACTACCTGTTTCTCCCTTGCTGCCTTTAGGATTCTCTGTTTGTTTTTGATATTTGCCATTTTAATGATGTTGAGTCTTGGAGTGGACCTCTTTGGGTTCCTCTTGAATGGGATCCTCTGTGCTTCCTGGACTTGCATGACTTTTTCTCTCCTCAAAATAGGGAAGTTTTCCATTATTATTTTTTCAAACAGGTTCTCTATTCCTTCCTCCTCTTCTCCTTCTGATATCAGTATAATACAGATGTAATTATGTTTCAGGTTGTCCTGCATTTCCCTCAATGCCTCTTCATTCTTTTTAAGTCTTTCCATTTTTTGGCTCTTTCTGGGAGCTTTTTGTTACCTTATCCTCCAGCTCGTTGATTTGATCCTCTGCTTCATCTAGCCTGCTTATGATTCCTTCTTCTGTGTCCTTCAATTCAGAAATTGAATTCTTCATTTCCTCTTGTCTCTTATTGACAGTTTCTATGTCCATTGTCATGCTGATATAATCTACAGTAAGTTCCTTGTAGTTTCCCTGTAGTTTTTTGTAATTCCCTCTGAGTTCACTGAGCTCATTGAGCTTCCTTAGAACTGTTGTTTTATACTCAATATCAGATAGTTTACTTGCCTCTGTTTCATTTGGTTCTCTTTCTGGGGATTCCTTCTTTCCTTTTTATTAGGGCATGTTTCTTGTCTTCCCATTATTTGTGAGACTCTTCTCTTTTGGTTCTGCTTCTTACATTGATCTGCCTTGATTTGCTGACTTTGTGGTGTGAACTTCTATGGTGGGAGACTGCTGTTTTTTCTTTCTGATGATGTCAAATGTTGACCTTGTCTGACCTTAAGCAGTGTGTTCGAGATTTCCAGGAATCTACTGTTTGTGGCTGTCTCTTTCAGCTGTTAATCTAGTCACTCTTTACTCAGCAGCCAGGGTTAGACACCACCTGCCCAGGGCAGAGTCCCTCCTGGGGCGGGGCTGTTGTATCCTCTCATGTTGCTGCCACTCAGGGGAATGTTCTGCTTGAGCCAGATGGCTACTGCCTTATGGGGGATGAGTCAGGTCCGAGATCCCACAGGGAACTCTTCAGTTCTCCTTCCCCAGTCTCTCCTCAGGCGTCTTTAGCCCATTGTGCCCCCACCTTTGCTGGAGACCAGTGTACATGGCTGCAAATAAAATTTTATGCATTGACCCTTTAAACGGCTCTTTATGTCTTCAGCAGAGTGCAACCCTGCTGCTTTTCTTAGTGAAGTGTTATCTGTGTACTTTTAGGGCTCTGGTGCTGTAGGGTGGAGATCCCCGCTTACGGTTTAGAGCCCTCTCTTTTCAGGGGGATCCACCTGCCATTTTAATATCCTTTTGGTGCTGCTGCCCAAGGGCACCCCACCCGCCTTCTAGAGTCTCCGTTGCATTCCTTATCAGTCAGGTTGTATTAAAGCTCATTCTTCTGTCTGTCCTAGGTAATAAGGCTTCTCTTTCGCTATTGTTCAGTTGTTTGTTCCAGGTGATTTATCCACAATTTAGTTGTAATTCCAGATTGGTCCTGGGAGGAGGTTGGTGTGACTTCCATTCACTCCTGTGCCATCTTGATTCACCAGGACACTCTTTTTTTCCTGAGCAGTATGTCTCAACAGTTAAATTGGGCTTAAAATATTCAGTAAACAATGTTGTAAACATATTTGCTGTCCTCCAGGCTTTGTTGTTCCACTTCTGGGGCACAGGTAGAGTAGACTCAGCATAATTCTTAAGGGTCTTAGGGTTTTCAGATAGTAAATGAACATTGATTTTAAAAATTCAGCTTCATTAGCCACCAACAAGAGAATCAGCTTCTACTTTGAAGATTTGACTCCAGGCATTGACTTCTTTCTAGCTAGGAAAGTCCTAGATGGCATCTCCTTCCACACTAAGGCTGTTTTGTCTACATTGAAAATCTGCTCTTTAATATAGCCACCTTCACTAATTATGTTAGCTAGCTATTCTGGATAACTTGCTGCAATTTTTATATCAGCATCTACTGCTACATCTTGTACTTTTATGTTTTGGAGATGGCTTCTTTCCTTAAACCTCATGAACCAACCACTACTAGCTTCAAACTGTCCTTCTGTAGCTTCCTTACTTCTCTTAGCCTTTATAGAATTGAAGAGAGTTGGGGCCTTGCTCTGGAGTAGGCTTTGGCTTAAGGAATGTTTGGTCTGGTTCAGTCTTCTATCCAGACCACTAAAACTTCCTGCATGTTAGCAATAAGAATGTTTCACTTTCTTACTATTGGTGTGTTTACTAGAGTAGCTCTTTTTATTTCCTTAAATAACATTGCCATTGCATTCACACCTTGGTTAATTATTTGGTGCAAGAAGCCTTGCTTTTATCTTCCATCTGCTTTTGATTTGTCTCAGCGTTTGACATGCTTTTCTCACTAAGCTGAATCATATCTAGCTTTTGATTCAGAGTTTTCCTTTCACTTGAACACTTTGAGGCCATTGTGTGGTAATTAATTGGCCTAATTTCAGTATTGTTTGCCTTAGAGAGAGGCCTGAGGAGAGGGACAAAGATGGGGGAATGGCTGGTTGGTGGAGCAGACTGAATACACACATTAATCTGTTATTATTTTACGTGGGTGCATTTCATGTTACCCCCAAACCAATTACAATGGTAACATCAAAGATAACTGATTACAGATCACCATACCAAATAACAACAATAATGAAAGAGTTTGAAATATTGTGAGACTTACCAAAATATTACACAGACACAGAGCGAGCAAATGCTGTTAGAAAAATGGAGCTGATAGACTTGTCTGATGCAATGTTGCTGCAAACCTTCAATTTGTAAAACATGCAATATCTGCAAAGAACAATAAAGTGAAAGTCAATAAAAGCGGATATGCCTTTGGTATTTGTCTATAATTATTACTATTTAGAGCAGCAATATTCATCCTTTTTCATCTCATGGCACACAAAGTATTAAAGTTCTGCGGCACACCAAAAAAATGTTATATTTTTTGCCTATCTGACAAAAAATAGGTATAATTTTGATTCATTCACACTGGATCGCTATCTTTATGTTGGCTGTTGTCAGTCTTTTATTTCACAATCTAAAGGAAAAGATGTCAGTGGCCTTGACCAAATAGTCAGATATTGCATGTTTTAAAAATCTCTGCAGCACACAGTTTGAAAATTGCTTATCATTGAGAGTGAACTTTTACATTTGGCTTTCTAATGGAATTACATAGATAATAGTAATTTAGGAGTCCTGAATTTCTCATACTAAGCATAAGAATGTGACATCGTTTCATATGTTTCAAGTCCTTGTGCTCTGTTTTCTGATCTCTGCTTGCAGGGTGGAGTTCCACCACAGCCACGAGCCGCGCATACATGTGCAGTTCTTGGAAATAAGGGTTATATCTTTGGTGGACGTGTTTTGGTTAGTATTTTCAATGGAAATAACCATTTATGTATGATGCTTCTTATAAAACATCCTCTGAATTTATAGAACTGAACATTCAAATAATCTAGAGATTATGGTGCCGTTCAATAACTTTTATCTTCTATTCCTAAACAGACCACAAATGAATAATTACAGATGATTTTAAATCATATTTTAATGAGGAGAATCCTTCACTTTAGTGTATTCTTAGAAAAGTTTCATTTGTTATCATCTAAATCCTGGTGGTTTAAACTCATTTACATGTGTCCCCCTTGATATGTTAATTTGATAGCTCTATGTTATTTTTATTAATGCTTAGCATTGTTCTCCAACTTATAAACTTATGATGTTAAGTAAAATAGAGATAATCTATATTTTTAAAAATATTTTTTAAAAATTGATTTTCAAAGAAGGGAAGTGAGAGAGAAAGAGGGAGAGGAACATCAGTGTGTGGTTGCCTCTCATGTTCCCTCTACTGGGGACCTGGCCTGCAACCCAGCCATGTGCCCCGACTGGGAATTGAACAATTCAGCACTCAGTCCACTGAGCCACACCAGCCAGGGCAAGAGAATCTGTTTTTAATATAAACTTGGTTTAACATAATATTCTCTTATGAAAAATGTAAAACACTGACCAATTTAACACACTTTTATTTTAGCAAACTAGGATGAATGATTTGCACTATCTGAACTTAGATACCTGGACTTGGTCTGGAAGGTAAGTATGAAATTTATTTTTAGCTATAGGCATTTCTCTGTGTGTATGTGTGTGTACCATAATCAAAATTTTGGTCTCTAAAACTGAACCATTATTTTTTCCCTTCAGATTATATGTCTAAGCAAGAAATATATAAATTTAAATAGAGTTTGTTCTTAACCAAACTATATAAAAACATGAGAATACTAGCTGTTGAAAATTAATTATGTAAAAGTACTGGTTTTATAATATGTATACTTGAAGACTGGTCAGTAGAAGAAAGGAAGTAACTGTTTAATGGGGTCATTACAGGTGGGTAGAAATGGTGTGGATAAAAGTCAGATTTTATTTATGGCTCAGAATTTATAAATATATTTAGCAGTAGAATAAATATATTTAGCTATCAATTCAGCTCTTCATGTAATAAGATGAACTCAGAGCTATATATTATTCCAAAGTAGAAATGCTATTAAAAATAAAACCACAGAAGTGCAAAAAGAAAATATAGCAGATTATCTTTAAAATCTCAGTATGGAGAAGACTTTTCTAAAAATGATTTAAACCCAAAATTCATAAATTAAAAGATAGGTTGATAAAAGTACTTAAAAATTAATTGTTTCTATGTAGAAAAATATACCACAAAAAGTTAAAAGACAAATTGGAAAATGCAAACAAAAAATATAAACTAGAAGTGGTATTTACGGTCTTTCTTTTTTATGTTTGTTTGACTTACGTAGTATTTTTTAAATTTACTTTGAATTTTTCTTAAATTTTAAATTTTTTTAATTACAGTTTATTAGTTTACATATTTACATATTTTATATTAGTTTCAGGTGTTCAATGTAGTAGTTAGATAATGATATACTTTACACAATATTTATAGTGTTTCTAACAAAGATGGCTAAGATCCGCAAGAAGTAAGTTGGTAAGAAAAAGACAAATAATCCTACAGGAAAGTGGACAAAGAACATGCACGAGCCATCTCAGAGAAGAAATACAAATAGGCAAAATTATTTCATAAAAATGTTCAACTTCATAGATTAAGAAATAAATCGAAATAAAATTAGTTTTCGCTTATCAGATAAAAGCAAATACAAATGAACAGTACCTGCTAGCCTGCAATAACATAATTAGTGGAAGTATTGGTATAAATTTTCTATAATTAGTGGAAAATTGGTGCAAATTTTGGAAGATATTCTGGTAATATATTTATAAAATGGAATTTCTACTCTGATCCAGAATTTCTCTGAAGCCAAGAATTGGACAAGTATATCTGTTTGTGTGTGTGTGTGCGTGTGCGTGCGTGCATTGCGCACACACAAAGATATTTGTTGCACCGTTATTTATAGAAACAAAAAAACGTGAGAACAGCCTTCGTGCCCACAAGTAGCAGTTGTTTAAATCACAGTACATAGCCCAGAGGGCTAAGATGCTTCCATTACCAAAGGGAGCTACTTCATGGAAATATTCTACAACATACTAGATGAATGAAAAAAAATACAGAATGGAATATATGATCCCACTTATATATTTTAATAAATATTTATGTGTACATTAAAGCCTGGAAAGATATATATCAAATTATTATTTCTTATTGCTCGAGGACGGGGTTATATAACTCGTTAAAAATATTTTTGTGGCTGTTGAATATTTCCTAACCAAAATGTTTTTTATAGTCAATAAAAATATTTCCAGTTTGGAAAAACTTCTATATTCTACAAATGGCCCATATCATTCTGGAGCATTCCAGAATGCTGGAGAATGGTGCCTTCTCACCCCTTAAGTTAGTGAAAGCACTTTTGTGCTTACGTTTTTACTTCTGTTTTTGTCTTTTAAGGAATAAAAACAGTATTTGTTTGAACTTTTTAAAGTTTTTTTTTTTTCCTGGATCTGAAATGGCTTGTATGGTTTAATTTTGAAGCTAGAGTAGCTAGCATTTTCAGATGAAGATAATGCTGTGGGAAATTCTACAATAAACAGACCAAAGTAGAAACAGCAGCGAAATCCCATAATAGCATTGAGGAAATCTGCTGAAAACACAAAATTAAATATGAAACAACAGCTAAGAGTTATAGACATGAAAATAATTACGTTGAAAAACTTAAGGATGTTTTACTGATCAACCAACAAGAATGATACTGAATACGCATTGTGAATTAACTGGGAATTGATTTTTAATCTGTGTTCTGTGACCAGGTAGAATAGACACTAACTAGAAAAATTGTTTAAACTCAACTAATAATTTAAGAATGTTTTTAAAATCTTACATAAAATTTTACTAATCCTACCTACATGAAAATTTAAAATAGTGAGAGCAATTGTTCCCTTTAAGAGCTGAGGTGATTGAAAACCTTTTATTTTAACTCACACAGGACCTAGATTTTATATTTTTCCCTTACCACAGGATTCCTATTAACGGAGAAAACCCTAAACATCGGTCATGGCATACTTTAACACCAATAGCTGATGACAAGCTTTTCCTATTTGGTGGACTAAGTGCGGACAATATTCCATTAAGTAAGTGAATTCATATTCGGCCTACAATTAATATCTCACTTTTTTCTTTTTTAAACATTTTTCAAAACATTATTCTTCATTCTTTATTTATTTTTAATTGCATTTATTGGAGTGACTAGTTCACAAAACCATACAGGTTTCAAGTGTACAACTCACTAACACATCATTTGCACACTGCATTGTGCGCCCATCACCGCAAGAAATGTCTCTTTCTTTCCCCATTTTCCTCCTCTTTTTTCTCCTCAACCTAGTCCCCAGCCCCCTTAACAGCTGGCTGTCACCGCACTGTTGTCTGTGTCTCTGTGTTACGGCTCTATGTTTTTTGGCTAATCCCTTCATCTTCTTTCATCCAGTCCCCCAACATCCATCCCCTTTGACAGCTTTCAATCTGTTGCATGTATCCATGCCCCTGTTTCTATTTTGTTCACCAGTTTATTACACTTATTAGATTCCACATATAAGTGAGATCATATGGTATTTGTCTTTCTCTCACTGGCTTATTTCACTTAGCATAATAATCTTCATGTCCATCCAGGCTGTCCCAAATGATAAGATTTCCTTCACTTTTTTTTTCATTATTCAAATACATTTGTCTGCGTTTTCCGGCTACCACTTGCCCCTGCCCCGCCCACCCCCACCTCTCACCCTTAATCCTTCTCCACTTTGGCTTTGTCCCTGGGTCCATTATCTGTGTTCCTTGACTTGACCCCTCCCTTTCTTTGCCCCATTAACCCCTTCCTTCCTCCCCTCTTGTTATTGTCAGTTTGTGTTTTCTTTCAGTGTTGCTGGGTATATTTTTCTTGCTTGTTTGTTTTGTTGATTAGGTTCCACTTATAGGTGAGATCATATGGTATTTGTCTTTCACCAACTGGTTTAATTTGCTTATTTATCATTATGCTCTCCAGTTCCATCCATACTGTCATGAAAGATAGTAGCTCTTCCTTTCTTTCTGCTGCGCAGTATTCCATTGTGTAAATGTACTGCAGTTCTATGATCCACTCATTTATTAATGGGCACTCAGGCTGCTCCCAATATTTGGTAAATAATGCTGCTATGAACATTGGGGTGCATAGGTCCTTTTGGATTGGTGATTCAGGATTCTTAGGGTATAGCCTCAGCAGTGGGATTGCTGAATCAAAAGACAGTTCCATCTTTAGTTTTTTTGAGGAAATTCCATACTCTTTTCCACAGTGGCTGCACCAGTCTGCATTCCTACCAACAGTACACTAAGGCTTCCTTTTCTCCACAACCTTGCCAGCACTTGTTGTTTGTTGATTTATTAATGATGGCCATTCTGACTGGTGTGAAGCGGTATCTCACTGTGGTTTTAATTTGCATCTCTCTAGTGGCTAGTGTTGTTGAGCATTTTTTTCATGTGTCTATCGGACCTCTCTCTGTATATCCTCCTTGGAGAAGTGTCTGTTCAGGTCCTTTGCCCATTTTTTAATGGGATTGCTTGTCTTCCTGGTCTGGAGTCATGTGAGTTCTTTATGCATTTTGGAGATCAATCTGTTGTCCGAGGTATCATTGGCAAATATGTTTTCCCATATGGTTGATTCCCTTTCTATTTTGCTGGTGTTTTCTTTAGCCTTTTTTTCTTAGTTGTATTTTATATTTAAAAAGTATCTACCTTTGTTTTGATTTTATGGTTTACCTCTATTTAATCCACAACTATATGTTTGCATTGAAAATTAGAAGTGGAAGACCGCTTTGCTTCTGTACCCTTGGTTCTCCTTGTTCTCCTGTTTCCGAGGTGTAGAGAGAAGGATGGGTGATTGAACTAGGCAAATTAAAGCCTCTTTCAACTGTAATAGTATATGATTCCATGTCCTCCTGACTTATGATCTAGATGCTTATAGTGTAGGCTGGAATGGGGATTAGAAGAGCAGCCTTTTTCAGAATGCTCTGGAAATATAAGGTGGGAAGACCTGTTGCCTCTCTTTTTGTTCCTAAATTAGAGAAGAAAGGGTTTAGCTAGAATTTTTTTTTTTAACTCCTGTCATTGCTGATCCTAGTGGCTATGGGTTTTGCAATGCAGTTTTTCTTCCAGCAGTAAAATTATGCCATTAGGATAGATAAACGACCAAGAATACTTTCTTCTTAGTTTGACATACTAAGTATTTTATATTTTCTTAACTCGAAAGTTTTCTATGGCTAGAGATTTCATTAAGAGAACTTTTATAGCATTAAAGCCATTTCTATAATCTTAGATATGATCTGGAAAAAACACTTTTTTTCAACAAAAATTTATTGAGCATCAGCAGATGTATCTGGCAACCTGCTGGCTAACAAACTCCAGAGGTTTGTTGGAAATAGCAGTTCCTAGTAGGAGATATTAATTATTGAAGAATATTATGCTTCTTCAATTTCTGGGAGTTTTAATTAAGAGATTTGGAATCTAATAAAAAACTAACATTATTCATTTTACTAGGGGTTGTTTAATATATCTATGAGCACTACTGTTTTTAATTCCTAATTGCTGATTTTGGTCATTGACCTATGGGGAATTAAGTATCCTAATTCTTAAAAGTTTTCTTTTTGAATTTTTATTTTTAATTAACTTATTTTTCAATTACAGTTGATATACAATATTGTATTAGTTTTAGGTATACAAAAAGTGATCACCATGATAAGTCTAGTACCCATCACAAATGTTCTCTTAGTCCAGTCAGTTTCTCCTTTTATAGATTAAGTTTAGGATATGGTCATATCTGTTTTAGATAATACTAAGAAATAATTTTTTGTTTTGTTGACAGTAATAATGGTGTAGTTGTATGACAGTAGTGTTGTAGATATATAAAAATTTTCCTTTTTTAAAAGCAGTGCTTACTGAAATATGCATGGGGAAATGATAGGAGATTTAGAATTTGCTTTAAAATAACTTAGCAGCAACAATAATAAAAAGAGATAAATGGAGTACATGTGACAAAATCTTTATAGTTGAATCTGGCATATGTGTGGGTTCAATGTCATGTTCACTCTCCTTTTATATATCTCTGAAATTTTTATGAGAAAATATGCATGCACAATAGATTGTTGCACAAATATAGCATGATAAATTTGGAAAAAAATTAAAATTTTACCCCAAAGAACATAATCTTAATTTTTGAACTGTCTTAACATTGCAGGTGATGGTTGGATTCATAATGTCCTAACAAATTGTTGGAAACAATTGACACATTTACCTAAAACAAGACCCAGGTAAGTCTACAAGTTGATAAATAACAGTAAAATAGTTAAGAATTTTTAAAATATTAAAATATAGTACCTTATTTATAGTGTTTGCTATTAAAACCATAAATCACCAGGAAAGATGTATTTTCAAATAAGCTTGATGTTACCTAAATAATTTAATGATCCATTTATATGTGTTAGAAATGATCTGTTCAGTTTCTACCCATATTTGCATATTTGAAACTATTGTTCCTTTAGGTAAATGCATAATATTGCCTGATAAATATGAAAAGGTTAAGAAATTGATAGTAACATATAATTTTACTATTTTTAATAAGTAGGCATGAATGGGGTTAGCTTTAGTAGTAGTTATTTGTTTATGGAAGAGGTTTAGAGCAGTTTAATGGGGAAATTGCTTTAATGTTGATCAAATAGATGGCAGATTATTATTTTTCTTTATTAACTTATATTGTATCCATTTCTCTGAGCTTTTTGAAAAAGAAAACATTAGTTATTTATGGTATTTATAGAGTACAATTTTCTGCAAAAATTATAGAAACAGTGTACTATTAGGCTACAAAGAAAACCACTTTAGTACTGTAATTCTTATTTTTTCTAATTTGATTGAGTTGTATAATAAAGATATATTCATAGGAAATTCAGATTTGGCACACTAAATTATTATACTTAGTAATGGATTTTGTTCTTTTTCATGACATGTATTTTAGATTTTTTACTCTAATGTGAATCAACTTAATGACATGAATTTCAGTAATATAATATATGATAAGTAACTTACTTGAGAAAAAGACATGAAAATATTTATATGTATACATATCATTGTATATACCTATATTAATGTGTGATATATTTAGAGTTTATCATAATTATATGTATGATTCTTATATTTTCATGTATAAAAATTCATTTGAATGTATTATTTTAGTAATTCTGCATCTTTTGTATGATATATATTTTAATTTAAAGAGTTTTATATTAAGATATAGGAACCCAGAGTTCTAGTCCTTGCTCAGCTACTACTTAGCATTTTGGCTTTGGGAAAGTCACTTATGAAACTGAGCATCAATTTTTGTCATCTGTGGAATGAGGGAGTTGGACTAGATAAGCTCTTCATTCTCTTCCAGTTGTTTGATTGTATGAATGCATTAATTATAGACCAAAGTGGTAGTAAGACTGTTTAATTTTAAATTGCTATTTTATATTTAAACCCTTAATGAGTAATTGAAGCAGCACAGCTATGATCAATAATATACAAGTTAGAACTGAGCTATGTAAAGAGATTTTTTTTTAATTCAACTAATATGCCATCTAAATAATATGCTTTATTAGAATGTTTAGGTGATAAGTTTAGAGCAGCTGTGAGAGGACATAAACTATCAGTCTGTAGAAAAAAACATCAGGTTGCAAGCTAGATGTCACCAAATCAAGGCAGGAAAGGCTTTCCAGTGTTCTTCGAAGATGAAGTCCAGGCCAGAGTTTCCATAAGGCAGATAAGACAGAGGCAGATCTATCTTCAGGTATGAGGTGAGGAGGAGAACAGGTGGGATACAGTTTAGTGTAAGGAGAACATAAATGTGTGTGTATATATACTAATTTTTTATGAAAATGAGAATTTACTTAACATCTAAATGAATTTTGTGCAAACCTTTCCAAGCTGTAATTTTAAATACAAGCTGCCCAATTCTCCTCTTGTAATTCTACAGCAGGTTTCTCAACCTTGATGCTATTGACATTTTGGACCAAATTATTTTTTGTGAGGGGCATCCTGTGCTTTGGACAATGTTTAATAACATCTCTGTCTTTAACCCACTGGATGCCAGTAGTACTGCCCCCTGTCAACCTGGAGTTAATGACAATCAAAAATATTCCAGATATTGTCAAATGTCCCCTTGGGGACAGAATTGGTCCTGGTTGAGAACCACTGTTCTACAGTGTTGCATCCTCTTCTAAAGGTCTCACTTAGATAAAATAATACCTGGTTGAAAAGCCATCTATATATCCATATCTGATTATCTGTATAGGTGGCTGTCAGCAAAGAACTTTCCTAAATGTTTGTAAAAGATGTCAGTAAGGGTTGATCTATAGAGCCTTAGGTACTGCTGTATCCCATGAGCATTGCCAAGTTTACCTGACCTTCTCTCCAATGAGTTAAGCTGTTGCTTCCCAAATATGAGGACTCCATAATATTCTATCTCTTCTGCCCAATCCCTCTTCTTGTTCCAATCTCCAACCCCAAAACACAACCTAGGCGTTGCTGAAGATTTATATGACATTATGGCCTGACATACAAGTTGGAGAATTGGGCGAATATTTCCCAAACAAAGTCTCTAATGACTCAGTTCTATCCTGGGTCTGAAATGCATATGTCATTGAATGTGTCATAATTGTTTGAGGAAATGATTTGACTTGACAAGTTGTACATAATCCCACTGTTTGCACTTGTGGAAGTTAAATAAAAGGGTTAATGTACTAAAAATAAGTTATGTGGTAATAAAATAAGTGATAATATGTAATTGTTTGGGGAATTTGTTGTTTTAACAATTTGGTCTGTTAAGAGAACTAATCAAAGTACTCTCAGAATCAAAGCTATGACTTTGTAAACCCTCAGTTTATCTTTTAAAATTGAGAAATTTACGTGTACTTTTTATTCTGATAGTTCAAGCCATCAGAAATATTGAACTTTTTAAAACCATAAAAGTATTCTTTGTAAATAATGTGAAACTGGAGATGGATATGTACTATCAGACCATTTTCAAAACAATGTTAGATGCTCTACTCCTTTATGAAATAATTATTTGATCACTGAATATATTATGGTGGCATTTTGTGTTTACTTTTGTTAATCAAAAGTTTTTGATCACCTACTGGATACAGAACACCATAATAGCCATTTTTAAAGAAAAGCATAAAATTAGATTACCCAAGTTCCAGCGATGTGCTGGTAAACAGTTAACACTGCTGTCCAGGAAAAACAAAATTTAAAAAAGCCTAATATGTTGCATTTGCTGATTTCCACCATGGCCAGTTTCAAGCTATCAACATGTTGTCACTGAACATGGAGTTGGATAGAGATACACTATTGGCTATAACTGCCCAATAAACTGGTTCCAGCCCACCACAACATCAATTTTTTACCTTAAGGATCTTTTTGTGGAGAGTTAAAGACACATGCATCAAAAAATTAAAGCAGTATATAGAGCAGTTTATCTTCAACTGTAAGTTAGATTATAAAATGAGCACATAAACGTTGAAAGGTGCTGAACAGAGAAGGTAGTTTGGGAGGCATTTGGGGATTTTTAAAAATATATTTTATTGATTATGCTATTACAGTTGTCCTGATTTTTTCCCCCTTTGTCACCCTCCACCCAGTGCCCCTGACTCCCTCAGGCAAACCCCACACCACTGTTCATGTCCATGGCTCATGAGTATAAGTTCTTTGGCTGCTCCATTTCCTATACTGTACCGTACATCCCCATGGCTATTCTATAACTACCTATATGTACTTCTTAATCCCCTCACCTCTACATTCATCTTCCCCTTCCCATCCCATCCGGCAACCTTCCAGTAACCAACTTCTTTTCTCGTACTGCTTTTAAGTGTCTCTCTTTATCTTTGATCTTTGGCCTTTTAATAATGTTGTGTCTTGGAGTGGGCCTCTTTGCATCCATCTTGTTTGGGACTCTCTCTGCTCCCTGGACTTGCATGTCTTCCCTATTTCCTTCACCAAAATAGGGAAGTTTTCTTTTACTGTTTTTTCAGATAGGTTTCCAATTTCTTGCTCTTTCTCTTCTCCTTCTGGTACTCCTTCATAGTGATGAGGCAAATGTTGTACCTATTAAAGTTGTCCCAGAGCCTGTTTATACTACCCTCATTTTTTTGGATTCTTTTTTCTTCTTATTCTGCATGCTTGTTTTTTGCTTCCTTATGTTCCAAATCATTGATTTGATTCTCTGCTTCATCCATTCAACTGTTGTTTCCCTGTAAATTGTTCTTTATTTCAATTAGTGTATCTTTCATTTATGACTAGGTCTTTTTTATGTTGCTGCAGTCTACGCTAAATTCCTTGAGTATCCTTGTAACCAGTGTTTTGAACTCTGCATCTCATAGATTGCTTATCTCCATTTTGTATAGTTCTCTTTCTGGAGTTTTGATCTGCTCTTTCATGTGGGCCATGTTTCTTTGCCTCCTCACTTTGGCAGCCTCCCTGGCTGGGTTTGTTTTAGGTAGAACTGCTTTAAGTCTGTGTCTTGGTAGTGTGGCCTAATGTAGTAGGTTTCCTATAGGGACCAGTGGCACAGCCTCCCCCATCATCCAGGCTGGGTACTCGAGGTATGTCCTTTGTGTGGGCTGAGTACACCCTCCTCTTGTAGTTGAGCCTGGGTTGTTATTGGCAGATCAATGGGAGGGATTTACCCAGGCCAGTCAGCAGTAAGAATTGATGGTGACCACTGACCACCAATCTTTACCTTCTGTGGAGGATCAGCTGTGCAGGAGCAGGGTGGTGGTGCTGTGATGTGGTCTCTTACTATCCTGGCTCTGGGGTTTCCCAGGTGGTGCAGGCCACGGTCAGCCCTCACCTGTGTTTTGCCCAGGGTCACCATGCCTGAGCTGCAAAGCAATCTGAGATGGCCGCTGCTTGTTCTGGGTTTGGAGATTCCCAGGTGAAGCCAAGCTGTGACTCTAATCTGGCTGCTGCTGGGGCTCACTGAAGCCAGCTGTTGCTTGTTTGATAGGATTTGGTAGCCAAGACCAGTCATTCTTATGGAAAAGCAGCTTGGATGGGCCCCTAAATTGGGTGGGGTAGAGCCTCTGTGGATCTCCAGAGTGGCACAACCTATTAGACAGGTTGATGGAATCTCAGATATGACAGCAGCCTATAGGCTCTTTGGTGGGGAGGGCTCAGCAGAGGACAATGGCCTCTGCTTGCCTTGATGCCACATGCTTCAGTCTCCCCCTGTATACCACTGTGCCCTTTAGGCTGCCACCTTGGTGCTGGAGCTTAGAGGGAGGGAGTCTGAGTAGGTGAGTCCATGTATAGGTTCCCCAAGAGGAACTGCTTAGGGCTCCAGCAGCCTTCTCCAGCAACTCAATCCCTGCTGGTTTCACAGCCAGATGTTGTGGGCAGTTATCTTCCTGGCACTGGAATCCTGAGCTGGGGGGCCTGGTATGTGTTTAGGACTCCTTGCTCCATTTGGGGATTTTGAGCCTGTTTTTGTTTGTTTGTTTGTTTGTTTGTTTGTTTTTTAAGGCCCTGGGAGAATGACTTCTCATTCTAAGACTTGGAAACAGGGGAACAAAAGCCTAGAGTCAGATGTAAGCTTTACTGTTTGGAAAAGCAAATAAATGAAGCTGACTGAAATAGAGGGTTCATTTGGGGAAAAGCAAGAATTAATTTAAGTTTTATGGGAAACAGAAATAGTTGTTGGTCATAAATAGAGGATAAGAAAAATGGCACAGGTGCTTCTTGATCAGGAATTGTCCATGGTTAAAAACAATATTGGAAAAATATTATTTATCAACATTACAGACAGAAAAATGAGGAACATATGTGGTATTCTGTACCCAGAGTGATAAGTAGTATAACAATGTAAATGAAAAGAAAATGCCAAATTGTATTTGTCAGGTGATCAGGGAAGAGAGAACAGGAAAGAGTAAAAAATAATGAAGATGCAACATGGCAGATAGTAATAAGAAAAGTGGGAAAGGTATTTATTTCTACTGATCAGCTCTTTTTAAAAGTATTTTATTTTGTGATAAATTATGTCAATATCTATGAAATAAAGAGATTAGAAAAAGTTATGGGATAAAATGGGAGTTATTGGGGGTCATTTCCTTAACTGAAATGATATGATTTAACGAACTCTAAAATCTAATTCTCTGTTGATTCTAGAGGGATTTTAAAATCTGTCCTCTTTGAGGATATGCCAAAGTTTGGAGTTTGATATTGCCTCTTTTGAAATAGATTACATTTTAGAGTGTGCAATTGAAGATTGATTTATATGTGATATATATTCCTTGATAGTTTATTCCTTGACAGTATTTCACTCTGTTTATGCTTTCCAATCATAGATTATGGCACACGGCCTGTTTGGGAAAAGAAAATGAAATAATGGTATTCGGTGGGAGCAAAGATGATTTACTTTCCTTGGATACAGTAAGAAAATTTTATATCTAAACATTTCCTCTGACTAATTGTGTTATTCAGCCTAAATGGTTGTTCAATAAGAATGTTAATATTCCCACATTGCAAAATATGAAAAGGCATGAAATGTTTCTCTGTGGTGTGACTAATCTTCAGAGTAAGTGGTTTTTGTGAAGTAATTCAGGATATCTTAGGTTTACAAATCAAAACAAAGGATGGTTTTTCCTTTTCTCTTTGAGCGTCCTCATAGTATGGGTGTTTATAATTTTATTGATTTAAAATATTTGTAAGTAATATTTGATACATAAAAAGAATATATATAATGTATATGTAAACTTAGTGTAATCATAAGTGATTATGAAATTTGCTACCTAACAATAAGTAGAACATCATTAATGCTAACTTTTTTCCTCAAGAGGAAACTACTTTGAAATGCTTATAGTGTATTTTTTTTTTTATTATACGCATCTTTTGCCACTGCTTCACCCTTGTTTTACATTTGCGTTGGAAGCATTCCAGTTTTAAAATCTGATAAAACTAAGATCAAAGGAATAAATGAGTAGCATTTGGAGGGTATTGTTCTTTCACTCCTAGGACCTTAGGATATTCAGAGCAGGGTGGCCGTCCTCCTGTTCTGTATGTGATGGGACAGGAATTCAGGACTGGTCGCTCTGGTTTGCATGAACACTTAGGCATAGCAGGACTGTGCCTTCAGGGAGGGGTTGGGTACAACAAGCCATGGTCCAGCCAAGGGGGCGCCTGTTCTCTTTCATTTCTTCAGGCATAGTTACTTCCAGAGTTGTTCCTGCAGAGCAGCCTGGCAAACCCTGAAATGGGTACCTTCTCTCCAGGGAACTGGTTTATTTCACAGTTCTGAGGCCTTGAATTTAAGTGTTACATATCCTGAAAGTTTCAGAGCTTTCTTTGGCTGATGCAGTACTTCAATGAAAGATGAAAACCACAACTTTGCATTTAATTAAAAAGAAAATTTAATGGTTTGTCTTCTTTTTCTGGGCACAAGAAATCTTAATTTAGGATGCAAATTTTATCATTAAAATAGGAATTCTGATTAAAATCATGGTCATGAATTATGAAATTCTAAAAAGCTATTTGAAAGAATTAGAGAAATTCTCTGCTGATTCTTTCACATTAATTTTTAGATGAGAAAATCATATTCAGCAAATCAACTGGATCTGTGATTTTCAAATTAAGAATTCCCAGGAAATCCTGGGACCCCCTGGAAAATTGAGATGGGGTAATGAGAACATTTAAAATAAGAGTAATTTAAATGAAAAAAGTTCTAAAAAAAAAAAGTTTGAAAACCACCACATTGTCATTTTGAACTTACTGTTCTAAGAGAAAAACATGTTTCTGATTTTTAAATTTACAATTATATATATAGACTGTGGTTAGGTAAAAATTGGGTCACTGAAAAAATGGTAACCACATTTCTAAAATTTGTGTGGATGTAGGTATGTATATGTTTGTGTATGCATGTGTATATGTGTGTCCATAGCTAGAGAAAGATTTATTTGCTGTTTTATATAATCTCTTTTACATTTACAAAGTAAATATTCAATTACTAATGCATTTTTATTTTAAAAAGATTTTTTACTTTTGTTCAATTATAGTTGACCCTATTTCTTCCCCCATTGACTCTCACTGTCCTATCCACCCCCCATCTCTCACATTCAATCCCTCCACCCCTGTTGTCTTTGGCATTGTTATTTTTATAAAAAATGTTGATAACTTCTTTTTATGTTGATTAGGGTCACTGTAATGATTTATTGATCTTTCAAACACAACCATATTCACTTCTCAGGTAAGTAAATACATTATTTTTAATATATATGCTATTAATATATGATAGTTTCTTTCTGCTTGGTTTTTAGTAAGCTTTGTAATATTTTCCATGTAGTTTATGACTTGAATTTTGAAAAAATGTTTAAATCATTCTAACAGTGTAATCAGATTTATAATGGTGAACCATACACCAATGTTATTTTTATTTTTTATTCTTCTTCAAGTACGGTTGTCTCCATTTTCCCACCACCAATTTACCCCACCCCACCCACCCCAACCTCCCACACTCAACCCTTCCCCACTTTGGCTTTGTCCATGAGTCCTTTATACATGTTTCCTGATTGACCTTTCCCCTTTTCCCTGTTAACCCCTCTCTTCCTCCCCTCTTGTTATTGTCAATTTGTTTTTCTTTCAGTGTTGCTGGTGATATTTTTCTTGCTTGTTTGTTTTGTTGATTAGGTTCTACTTATAGGTGAGATCATATGGTATTTGTCTTTCACCACCTGGCTTATTTCAGTTAGCATTATGCTCTTCATTTCCATCCATACTGTCATGAAGGGTAGTAGCTCTTTCTTTCTTTCTGCTGCATAGTATTCCATTGTGTAAAAGTACCATAGTGTACTGATCTCCTCATTTACTGTTGGGCACTTAGGTTGCTTCCAACACTTCGTTACTGTAAATTGTGCTGCTATGAACATTGAGGTGCATAGGTTCTTTTGAATTGGAGTTTTGGGATTCTTAGGGCATAATCCCAGCAGTGGAATGGCTGGGTAAAAAGGTAGTTCCATTTTTAGATTTTTGAGTAAGTTTGAAATTGTTTTCCACAGTGGCTACACCAATCTGCATTTCCACCAACAATGTACTAGGACTCCCTTTTCTCCCCAGCCTCACCAGCAATTGTTGTTTGTTGATTTGTTTATGATGGCCATACTGACCGGTGTGAAGTGGTATCTCATTGTGGTTTTAATTTTCATTTCTCTGATGACTAGTGATGATGAGCATCCTTTCATATCTCTGAGCCCTGTGTATGTGCTCCTTGGAGAAGTGTCTGTTCAGGTCCTTTGCCCATTTTTTCATTGAATTTGTTTTCCTGGAGTGGAGTCCTGTGAGTTCTTTATATATTTTGGAGATCACACCCCCATCTGAGGTATCATTGGCAAATATATTTTCCCATATGATTGATTCCCTTTTCATTTTGTTGATGTTTTCTTTAGCCAATGCAGGAGCTTCTTATTTTGATGAAGTCCCATTTGTTTATTCTTTCCTTTATGTCCCTTGTTCTAGGAGACATAGAGGTGAAAATATTGCTGTGTGGGATGAGAGTGTTCTGCTTGTGTTCTCCTCTAGGACTTTTATGGTGTTGCGACTTATATTTAAGTCTTTTATTCATCTCGAGTTTATTTTTGTGTATGCTGTAAGTTGGAGGTGGAGTTTCATGTTTTTGCATGTAGTTGTCCAGATCTCCCAACACCATTTGTAGAAGAGGCCATTTTTACTCCATTTTATGCTTCTGTACCCTTTGTTGAATATGAATTGACCATAGAGACATGGGTTTATTTCTGGGTTCTCTATTGTGTTCCATTGATCTATGTGTCTGTTCTTATGCCAGTACCAGACTGTTTTGATTACAGCAGCCTTGTAACATATTTTGATGTCAGTTATTGTGATCCCTCTGAGTTTGTTCTTCTTTCTCAAAATTGCTGCAGCTATTCGGGGTCATTTATGGTACCATATAAATTTTTGCAATGTTTGTTCTATGTCTGTGAAATATGTCATTGGTATTTTTATAGGGATTGCATTGAATCTATAAATCGCTTTGGGTAGTGTGGACATTTTGATGATGTTAATTCTTCCAGTCCATGAACATGGTATATGCTTCCACTTATTTGTGTTTTCCTTAATTCCTTTCTTCAGTGTTGTGTAGTTTTCTGCGTACAGGTCTTTTACCTCCTTGGTTAAGTTTATTCCTAGGTACTTTATTTTTCTTGTTGCTATAGCAAAGGGGATTTTTTTTCTAATTTCTTTTCTGGTATTTCATCATTGATGTACAAAAATGCCTTTGATTTCTGAATATTGACTTTGTATCCCGCTGTTTGGCCAAATTCACTTATTAGGTTTGAGTAGTTTTTTGGTGGAGTCTATGGGGTTTTCTATGTACACTATCATGTCATCTGCAAACAATGGCGGTTTTACTTCCTCCTTTACAATTTGGATGCCTTTTATTTCTTTTTCTTGTCTGATTGCTGTGGCCAGGACTTCCAACACTATGTTGAATAGAGGTGGTGAAAGAGGACATCCTCCTCTTGTTCCCGATCTTAGTGGGAAAGCTTTTAGTTTTTGCCCGTTGAGTATAAGGTTGACTGTAGGTTTTTCATATACGGCATTTATTAGATTGAGGTATGCCCCCTTTACTCCTACTTTGCTGAGTGTTTTTATCATAAATGGATGCTGTACCTTATCAATGCTTTTTCTACATCTATTGATATGATCATGTGGATTTTGTCTTTCTTTTTGTTTATGTGATGTATTATGTTTATTGAATTGCGAATACTGAACCATCCTTGCATCCCTGGGATGAATCCCACTTGATGATTGTGGATGATCTTTTTAATGTATTGCTGGATGTGGTTTGCCAATATTTTGTCGAGGATTTTAGTGTCTATATCATCAGCGATATTGGTCTGTAGTTTTCTTTCTTGGTTGTGTCTTTATGTGTTTTGGGGATTAGGATGATGCTGGCCTCACCAAAAGAGTTTGAGAGTCTTCCCTCATCTTGGACTTTTTGGAATAGTCTGAGAAGGACAGGGGTTAGCTCTTCCTTAAAAGTTTTCTAAAATTCTCCTGTGAACCTGTCTGGTCCAGGGCTTTTGTGTTCTGGGAGTTTTTGTTTTGTTTGTTTGTTTGTTTGTTTAATTGAGAACCAAATGTTTATTAAGTATAGCAGAAAATAAGTTGCAATCTATTGAGATCTGTCTAAATAAGTAACAAAATCACATTTTAGGGTACTTTTTAAAAAATTTTTTTAACTTTATCTTATAATTTTTAAATCATGTTTATTCAATTACAGTTGTCTCAATTTTTCCCCCTTTACCCTCCTCCATCCCACCCCCGCCCCCTACTCCCACAGTCAATTCTCACCTTGTTTTCCATGTCCATGGGTCATTCATACATGTTCTTTGTCTAGTCCCTTCCCCTTCTTTCCACCATTGTCCTCTTTCCCCCTCCCCTCTGGTCACTTTCAGTCTGCTCCATGTTTCCATGACTGTGGTTTATTTTGTTCACTAGTTTATTTTGTCGAATAGATTCCACTTATAGGTGAGATCATATGGTATTTCTTTCATCAACTGGCTTATTTCACTTAGCTTAATATTCTTCAGTTTCATCCAATTTGTCACAAAAGGTAGGAATTCCATCTCTCTCTCTCTTTCTTTCTTTCTTAAATACAGATTGATTTTATTTATTTTCTAAATGTCAAAGTTAATTATATTAAAAAAATGTAAAACCCTTATAAAGTCTCAGCAATTAAACCAACATGACACCAGCACAGACATAATGAAATAGATCAATGAAATATAATGAACATTCTAGAGACAAACGTATATATATCTGTCTAACAATATATGATTAAGTTGATATTTCAAATCAACAGGTAAAATAAGGCTTATTCAACAAATAAGGTGCATGGACCACTATTACTTGAAATAAAACAAATATAGAGCCCTCTTTCACACATTATACAAGAAATATTCAGGTGAGTTAAAAATCAATATATAGAATCTACGGAGTTTTCAGAAAAAATACAAACTAATATTTTTCATGACCTGAAGTAAAATATTAAACCCTAGAAGCTATAAACTAAATATTGACAATATGACGATGTTAAACATTTAACTATATAGTAATATACATATAAAAAAGTGAAAGGACCAGGAATAGAATAGAGGAGTATTTGCAACACATCTAAAACATAGTTAATAGGGGTTTTGTTTTTTTTTTGAAAAAAGTTCTGCAAACCTTTAATCAATAAGTGGATAAAGAATACCAAAAAGTCATAAAGCTTTTTTAAAAAAATAATAGAAATAGGCAAGAAATATACTAAAACAGGTTTAGTTTCAACAAATAATAAAGGAACAATTAAAATAACATCATTGTCACAATCAGATTAATGAATATTAAAAATATTGGTAATATCAAGTATTGGCAATTCTGAAAGGAACTGGGTATTCATAAAAACTTTTTCTTCATCTTAAAGCAGGCCCTTTAGCATATTTTGTAGTGCTGGTTTGGTGGAGGTGTATTCTTTTAGCCTTCTTTTGTCTGGGAAACTCCATATTTCTCCTTCCATTTTAATTGAGAGCCTTGCTGGGTAGAGCAGTCTTGGTTGCAGGCCTTTGCTTTTCATAACTTGGAATATTTCTTGCCATTCCCTTCTGGCTTGCAGTATTTCTGTTGAGAAGTAAGATGCTAGGCGTATTGGGGCTCCCTTATATGTTACTACCTCTATCTCTCTTGCTTGCTTTAGGATTCTCTGTTTGTCTTTGATATTTGTCATTTTAATGATCATGTGTCTTGGAGTGGGCCTCATTTGGTTCCTCTTAAATGGGACCCTCTGTGCTTCCTGGACTTGTGTGACTTTTTCTCTCCTCCAATTGGAGAAGTTTTCCATGATTACTTTTTCAAACAGGTTCTCTATCCCTTCCTCATCCTCTTCTCCTTCTGGTATCCCTATTATCTGGATATTATTACATTTCAGGTTGTCCTGCATTTCCCTAAATGCCTCTTCATTCTTTTTGAGTCTTTTTTTATTTTCATGCTCTTTCTGGGAGTTTTTTTCTACCTTGTCCTCCAGCTCGCTGATTCGGTCCTCAGCTTCATCTACCCTGCTTTTGATTCCTTCTACTGTGTTCTTCAATTCAGGAATTGTTTTCTTCATTTCCTCTTGTGTCTTATTGATAGGTTCTATGTCCTTTTTCATGCTAATATGGTTTGCAGTAAGTTCCTCATAGTTTCCCTGTAGTT